AGTGCAAGTGCCTTATAGCCAAAAACCTCTCCAAAAAAAAAAAAAAAGTCACACTGGTGCTCAACACTATGCAAGAAATATAATTGCTTTCTTCCAGATTTAGAAATCTACTATGAATATCCATTCAGTCATAAGCACTTTCAGGAAATAGAAGCAGATGCCGTTTGGAACTTGTTTGAAAGAACCCTGGCTGAAGAGTTCCTGGGGTTGCTCTTCTTTCATTATGTGACCTATGTCCCAGATCTGACATCTGCCAAACTGCCGCCTGGAACCTGGGAGAGTCAGGGTCCGCAGTGCGTAGATCATTTTTCATCAGCTCGTTTTCTTATCTCCCACCTGTCCCTAAGTAGTTGTTTCTTGGGATCTTTCAAGAGAGGAGCTTGTCAAGAGAAAGTCAGGCGTGTTTCTGGGCAGCCCAGTTCTATTTACAGCTTCTTTATGGCTGGTTGGCAGCTGCAACCGCCAGGGAGGCCAGGGAGGTTTCCTTGAGGGATTGTCTAGCTATTTCAGTCACTTGGGTCGGGCCCCTTCTTTAAAGGTCCTGGAGCGGCTGCATAGACTTCTCAGCAGCTCCCAGGCTGTGGAGCCGCGGCCTTAGAGATAAACAAGGTTTCCTGCAGGCAGAAAAGGAGGATTTGGAGCCACAATGTCGGACAGAAGCCCCTTTGAAACGGACATGCTCACCCTGACCCGTTATGTCATGGAGAAGGGGCGTCAGGCCAAAGGGACTGGAGAGCTCACCCAGCTGCTGAACTCCATGCTTACAGCCATCAAGGCCATCTCTTCTGCTGTGCGCAAGGCCGGGCTGGCCCACCTGTGAGTCCCCCCAAGTGGGCCTGGGCATCAGAAAGGAGGCAGGGACAGAGCTGCAGGTGCCTGGGGAAGAAACTGGGTCCAAGCTTATTTGTCTGAAGTGCCCCAGAAGGAAGTTGCTTTTTGAGTTTCAATCATGTGTACTTTTTTCCCTTTTTTTTTTTAATTGCCAGAAGACCTGTGGGCTTGCGGGAGGGAGAGAGAGAGAGAGAGAGGGGGAGAGAGAGAGAGAGAGAGAGAGAGCACTCCTCAATGGGGCGTGGCCACATAGCAATTCCTTCTCCATTTCTCTCTCCTGTCGGGATCTGGACCCGTGTTAAGCTATATGGTGGGACTCAAACTCGTTTGCCATGTGCGATCTGGTTCCCTTAAACACTAGGCTATGGGGCAGTGGTATGATGGTTAAGGTGCTGGACTCCCATATGCCAACTATAGTTCAAGTCCCTGATATGGCGGCTTGAGAATCACACCGGGCACATGTGCATGACTGCCTAAATTCCCAGGAGGAGAACAGAAAAAAAGGGATTGTGGTGTTGGCTATTCCCCTCTGGGGGAAGATTTCTCCCTCTCCCTCTCACTGACTCTCTCCTGTGAGTGGTTGGACTCAAACTGTGGTCGGCCATGTGGGATCTGGCTCTCTTAAACACTAGGCTATGGGGCAGGCCTTATCATGTGTGCTTTGATAAATGGGCCTTTGTCTTGTTTCAAGAAAGGAACAAAATACTTCAAGATGTGCTACAGAGAAAAACATGACTTTCCCCAGTTGCCATGTATGATAATGATACTGAGAGCAGCAGCTTGGGACATTCAAACATATATTAAATTCTCCTGACTTGTATTTGTATAGAGACATTCTCACTGGCACAAAGAATCAGAGAGGTGCAGACTGAGTGCTTTTCTGCTTGGTCTCTCTCTCTCTTTGTTCACTCTTACTTTTTAAAGTTTTTTCTATTAGGCACCTGCACTCACCGGAGAGAGACAAGAGAGACAGTGAGAGGGAGAGTGAGAAATTTCCCTCAGAGGGGAATAGCCAACACCACAATCCCTTTTCTTCATTCTCCTTCTGGGAATTTGGGCACTCACACACATGTGCCATGTGGGAGTCCAGCACCTTAACCACCATGCCACCTGCTGACCCCAGGATACTATTTTAATAGACAAAGATATCCTGGGTGTGAATAAGAATAATCTAACCTATTGGATGAATCAACGTAAATATACAGTCCCCCTGGTTAAGAATCATCCATTCATTCAACAGTTCTCTGTTAAGTGCTGACACTGGTAGGCAATGCAGACCATGAGGGAGAAAACAGAAATAAAATGCTTAGAGATGAGGGGACACACAGAGGTGCAGCAGTAACACAGCTGGGCCCATACATGAAGGTACTGGATTCATGTCTCAGGACCTGCCTGAGCACTCAGGGTGCACACATGTCCATGATCCGGGATGGCTGTGACTGGGGGTGAAGACCTTTCAAGGGTTGGTCTCTTTCTCTGTCTTTCTTCCCCTTTCTTTTATTTTTTATTTTAATTTACATTAATCACATATATCTTTACGTATATCTTTACAGGGTACAACATTTCTTTTTCTAGCATGAATACTGTGCATATCAGTCAAGACAGAGACATTACTGTATACGTTATTATCAGCAAATAACTTTTCAATTTTTTTTGTGATTTAAATGTACTTTTTTCTTCCCCTTTCCCTTCCCTCTCTCCATTATCCACCTATATTATCCCTATCTTTACTATCCCTAGTATCTATGGTTGCCCTCCCTGCTACTATACCTCCCAAACTTTCAGTTTCCGCTATAAAGCACAGACAATTGATATTATTAAGTGGGGACATACAAAGTCTGTCTTTCATAGTCTGACTTGTTTTACTTAGTATTAAGTCTTCCATATTTGTCCACTTTGTATCAAATGTCAGTGTTTCATCTTTTTTTTTTTTTATGACTGAGCAATATTCCATGGAGCACATATGCCACATTTTTTCAATCCAATCATCTATTGGACATTTGGTTTGAGTCTATGTCCTAGTGATTATAAATAATGCTGCAATAAACACAAATGTGTAAATGCTTTTCTGACTGAGGATTTTTCCATCCTTTGGGTGAGTGGAATTACTGGGTCATATGGCAGTTCTGTTTGTAGGTTTCTGAGGAATCTCCAGATTGTTCTCTACAGTTGTACTAACGTATAGTCCCACCAAGAGTGTAGAAGAGTTCCCTTTCCACCACAGCCTTGCCAGCACTTTTTATTATTTATTTTTTAAAGTTTTAGCCATTCTGATTGGGGTTAAGTGGTATCTCATTGTGGTTTTGATTTGCATTTCCCTTATGATGAGAGATGTCAAGCATGTTTTCATATGCTTTTTGTCCTTTCATTTACTTCTTCAGAGAGTTGTCTATTCAGCTCCTTTCCCCAGCTTTTAGTTGGGATTGGTTATTTTTTGGTGGGTAAGCTGCTTGAGTTTCCTGTATATTCTGGTTGTCAGTTCTTTATCTGAAATATACTTCGCAAATATGTTCTCCCACTCTGAGGGTTGTCTTCTCGCTCTACTTATTGTTTCTTTTGTGGTGTAGAAGTTTCTCAGCCTAATATAGTCCCATTTGTCTATTTTTGGGACTACTGCCTATGCTTTGGAGGTCTTTTTAAAGAAGTCTTTGTCTATGCCAAGGTCTCCAAGAGTTTGTCCTGTGTTTTCCAACAGTATTTTTTATAGGTTGAAGTTTTGTGTTTAGATTCTCAATCCATTTTGAGTTAATTTTTTTTAGTGGTGAGAGATAAGGATCTTGTTTCATTCTTCTGCAGGTGGGTATCCAGTTCTCCCAGCACCATTTGCTGAAGAAATTTTTCTTTTTTCCACTAGATTGTCTTGAGTCCTTTGTCAAAGATCAGTTGGCTGTATGTTTTGGGGTTTATTTGGGGGTTCTCAATTCTGTTCCATTGGTCTGTTTGTTTTTGTACCAATACCATACTGTTTTAATTATCACAGCTTTGTAATATGTTTTAGAGTCCAGAAGTGAGCTGTCTCCTACTTTATTCCCCTTGCACAGTATTACTTTGGTAGTTACTTTTTATGCTTTCAGACAAATTTTATGATTGCTTTTTCTATTTATGTGAGAAATATCTCTGGTAGTTTGATTGGGGTTGCATTGAATTTGTGCAATGCCATTTTTTACACTGATTGGATAGGACTGATGTCTTGATTTATTAATTCTTCCAATCCAGGGATCTTTTTCCACTTTTTTTGTATCACTTTAAATTTCTTTTTCTAGTGTTTCATAGTTTTTCTTGTAGAGATCTTGATGTCTTTGGTAAAGTTTATTCCTATATATCTTATTGGCTTTGTGGTTATTGTAAATGGAATTTCTTTCTCCAATTCTATCTCAGTTTTTCCATTGTTGGTGTATAAAAATGCTATAGATTTTTTACACTGGTTTTGCATCCTGCCTTACCATATTTATTTATCAATTTCTAGTGTCTTTTTTTTTATTTGTGTGTGTGTGTGTGTGTGTGTGTGTGTGTGTATTCTTTTTGATTTTCTATGTATAGTGTCATATTATCTGCAAATAGAGATAATTTCACTTCTTTTCCTATTTGGATGCCTATTATTTGACTTTTATCAATTGCATTGGCTAGAATTTCCAGTACTACATTAAAGAAAGAGTGGAGAAAGTGGGCAGCCTTGTCTTGTTCCAGTTTTTAGTGGAAAGGTTTCAGCTTTTCCCTATTCAGTATGATGTTAGCTATTGATTTTTCATAGATGGTTTTTATTATGTTGTGGAATGTCCCTTTTATGCTGATTTTGCTGAGAGTCTTAATCATGAAGGGGTGTTATATTTTATCAAATGCTTTTTTTTGCATCAATTGATATGACCATATGGATTTTATCTTTCCTTTTGTTAATGAGATGTGTTATGTTTATTGTTTTGCTTACATTGAACCATCCTTGCATCTTTAGTATAAATCCTACTTGGTATGGTGTATAATACTTTTAATATGTTGTTTAATATGGTTTGTCAGTATTTTGTTGAGAATTTTTCATCTGTATTCATCAGGGATATGGGCTTGAAGATTTCTTTTTTGATCATGTCCTTGTCTGGTTTTGGAATTAAGATGATGGAGGCTTTGTAGAATGAATTTAGGAGGATTCCTTCTTTTTGAATTTTAGATGTAATTTAAGGAGAATTGGGGTTTATTCTTCTTGAAAAGTTTTGTAGAATTCAGAAGTAGAGCTGTCATAACCAGAGCTCTTCTTTGTTGGGAGACTATTACTGATTCAATCTCATTGCTTGTTATGGGTCTATTCAGACTTTCTATTATTTCTGGTTCAATCCTGTTTTCTTGTTTGTTGGTATATAGTCACTGACAGTATTCTCTGATATTTTGTAATTCTGTTATATCCATTGTAATAATCCTATTTCCTTGCTGATTTATCTGGTCTTTTCTCTTTTCTTCTTGATTAATCTAGTTAACATTGAGTCAATTTTGTTTATCTTCTCAAAGAACCAGCTTTTGGTTTCATTTATTTTCTGTAGTTCTTTTATTCTCTATTTCATTTATTTCTGCTCAAATCTTTATTATTTCTCTTCTCCTGGAATTTTTGGGATTATTTTGTTTTTGTTTTTCCAGTTCCCTGAGTTGTGTAATTAGCTTGTTTATTGGCCACCTTTCTGCTTTTTTCTTGTGGGCACAAATTGCTATGAACATCCCTCTTATAAATAACTGCTTTTGCTGTGTCTATAGGCTATAAACACTTGTTTGTCCATTATCATTGGTTTCTATGAATCTTTTGATTTCAGTCTTAATTTCTTTTATAGTTGTGAAGTCATTTAGGAGTTGATTATTTACTTTCCATGTGTTTGTGAATTTTCAATGACTCTTTCTTTAGTTAATTTCAAGTTTGATTCCACTGTGGTCAGAAAAGATGCTAGATATAGTGTCTATATCTTTGAATTTGTAAAGTCTTGTTTTGTGTCCTGTCATGTGGTCAGTCT